AACTTCTGTCATTTGTGCTTAGGGTATCATAAAAAGGCGCCATGCTGTTTCTTTGAAGTATAGATTTTCAAAGCGTTCACATTTCTACTTTAATTGCAAAAGCCCTGAAAACATATTAAAATTTTACAAAACCCGATCTATGGTAATTGGCTAAAACTAGACCACCAGCAATAAAAAACTAAAAGTGGTACGTCAAACTAAATCTACTCACTATTTTCATTCAATCTCTCAAAATCAACCAAAACAAAATTTTCAACGATGGCAAGTCCACTGCAAATTATTTCAATTAATTCACTTGAAAGAGCTATATTGTACCAAACTTATACCAGAGATTCTATCGTAGTGGTTCAACAGGAACGGAAAATGCGTCATCGAAACGCAAGTCCTTTGAACGATCTTGATCCAGGAAGCAGAGAATTCGATGAATGGGTCACTAAAAACCATATGATGTTACCCCATTATTTGCTAGATCAAATTGGTATCCTCATACAAAGCAGAAAACAGGTCTACGAGAGTTGTTGTGTGACTGAATCGTATCCTGCGCTGAAGCGCACAGATATTCAAGACCCTACTTGCCTTGATCGTTCACCGAGAAAAATACTGTTTAACTACGATTGCCAATCGATCCCCTTTTACGAAAATCAGGAAGGATCCATTAGAGATTTAGCAGAGCGAGAAAACTACTGGAACATTGAGTCGATTGAATCACCAGATTCAACAGAGAAAAAAGATGAGGACCAGAAGACGCCCAAAACCCCAATAAAACCGGATATTTTTTCAATCACTCAACATCAGCAGCAGCAAACTTTTTCTGCTTCTTCTTCTTCCGGCAGTCAAAGTCCCACTGCACCAAACTTAGTAGCTGAGACGCCGCCTATCAATGCTTGCTATGCGCCGAAAAAACGCAAACTGCAATTTAGAGATCTCTGAAAACTCAAAAAAAAAAATTTGTTTCCACCGAGAGTGCACCAGTTTGGGGGTTTATTATTTAGTTTGATAAGTTTTTTTTATTATTGTGGATGAATCTTTGTTTACGCTTTGTTTTTGATTTTCTAATTTAATGTTTGCTCTCTAACTTTTTTTTTCAGAAATCTTTGAAAGAATAAAACTAAACAAAAAAAAACATATTTTAATCAAAAATTATCCTCTGGTTTCGACCAGTAGTAGGTGATCAACTTAGCTAATGAAAGTTTGCCTGTATATGCAGCACCTAACAAGTTATTTCTGTTCAAAACCCAAACCAGAAAAAGTATGCAAAATTTCGTTTTTGTTTTTTGTCCAAAAATTGCCAAAAATTGATTTCGTGAACTGCAACTTTATCTCATAATGTTGCTATAAGGGTATTACGGCTGATGAAACCCCCAGTTCCTTGATACAACGCTTTTTGAAATGTTATTTTTGAGAAAATCGAAATTCATTAAAATTCATCGTTGGCTAAGTGTCGTTCACTATGAAGCCGTGCTCAGAAATGGATGAAACCAATTTTTTTAGACTCAGCGGGGTCGAAAACAAGGCGTTGCCGCCGTTTTCGAGTCTAGGCGGCCACGTTTCAAAAGATATTCGGTGGTTTTTGAACGGACTGCATATCCACTGAGCCAATGCTCCTCACAACCCTGCAGTGGAAACCATCTAAAAGTAAAAGCTGAAACACTGCAAAGGACCCAACAGATACCTGAATCAGTGAACATATACGCAGAATGAATTTAATAAAAACAAGAAAAAATCAAAAAAGAATAAATTGACCTGTTTGATTTTTTCGATTTTCAGAAGTTTGACATGAAAAATTCCCATTATTTAATTTTTAAAAAATCATGATATGAAGCTTTATCACTTCTTTGACAGCTCAATTGATGATTAACTACATTCGGTGTAAGGCTTTCATTTCACTCTGCTGGCTTAGGTCTACTCGGGTGAGGTCTTTTTGAATTGAGTGCCGATGAATTGTTTGAAGCTACACAAGTTGTTTAGGAACTTTGTGGTTAATTCAGAAAATTTGGTTGATTTATGAGACTATTTTATAGGTTTATCTAATGAGCCGAAGTTGTTTCCTTTGATGTATCTGAGAGTATTTTGGGCGCACCCTCTCGATTTTATTAATCTAAGCTCCACCTTAGGAAATCACTCCTTGTTTGGCAATTAAGCAAATGATAAAAAAAAGTTTGAAAATCTAAACAGATTTAATAGCAGTCGTAAAACAAACGGAAAATCACTTGATCTCTTTTGACTTGTAAACCAGTATCTGCTTTATTTGAACCTAGCTCTCCGAAATATCAAAATTCTCAAAAACAACCACCTCGCAATGTCTACAAAAGTCGTACCCTGTAATCTCTGCCAAAAAAAACTGAGTGACCGGCGAAGCCTCAAAAAACATCTAATGGCTGTTCACAAGATTGATCCTGTGAAAACCGACTACATATGTGGTCACTGTGAACTAGAGGATAAGTCACTTCGCGTCATTTGGGAACATGTCGTGGAGCGTCACAAAACAATCGATGAAACGGAAGAAAGAAGAATTTGTCTCTACGACATGAATGTGTTCCAAAATGATCGCGCATATGCTGCGCATATGCTAAACGAACACGGTCTGCCAGCATGGGATATGAGCCGAGAAATCCTCACTTCTATACAGCCTGAGACAGCTTTTGATGGATCAGTCAGGACATACGATATAGTGCCGATGGAAACGGAAGTGGACCTACTAGCGCTACTCGTGACCAAGAGAGACGAAATCGAAGAGCTGATACTTCAAAATACTATGTATGAGCCTCAGAAAGCTCAATTGTCGGCAGAAGTAACTCTTGAAAAAGAGAAGGCAGATGGCATAGAAGAAGTAATAACCATCTTCGCCAATTGCAAAATGCTTGCTGTAGACGTTCAAGGATGGACCCAGGACCAATTCTATGATTGCGTAGACCAAATATTGTCTACTGTCCATCAATATGCGTCTCATGGTTGGCTGGAGAATCCGCAGGATTGATAAGATTGTCCTAAAAATGGTGAAGTCTGCACCGATCAGGGGTTCATCCTACTTGCCACTACCAGCCGATCTACTGAAACTCAAACGCTTCTTGTTGAATATTCGCAATTATGAAGACGATCGATGCTTTGAGTACTGCTTCGTTGCTGAGTATCATCGGCAGAACAATATCCCGCTCACTCTTCGTACGATGCAGAGTAGAGAGGAGGAGAAAGCGAGCTTCTATGATTATCGCAGAAACTCAAGAGCGCACGAGCCAACTGGTGATTTTGTGTACCCAATGGGACTACCGGCTATTGCACGCTTCGAAATTTTGAATGAAGTGCAAGTGAATGTCTTCAGGTTAGTTGAAGTTTTAATCAAATCTTTTTTTTTATTGGTGTGAAGCTGTATCTAAGCACATCAGAACAAATGGTTGGCTGCACATTCGTTGAAGAATTATTATTATGATGACATTAAAAATTAGTATAAAAATATCATTCAAAATTTTTCTCTAGGTACAATGAAAAGACTTCTACCCCTGAGAGTGTCAAAATATCAGACTAATTTTGTTGTGGATTTGCTGCTTCTAAACGATATGGGCACGCATCACTACGTCGTGATAAAAGACCTGAACAAGCTAGTGAGCAAAATGCAAAAAAGAAAACTGAGATCGAGAAACATGCTGTGCCGAAATTGCTTCCACCGGTGTTCATCTGAGGAACGACTTGAGCGCCACCAGTTAATCTGCATGGGGAACGAACCAGCAATCGTTACCATGCCAAATGTTGACAAGAGCAGCGTAGGCTTCAAAAACATCGGTGCTCGAAGCTATAGCCCATTCGCGGTTTACTTTGATTTGGAGTCTGTGCTGGAGAAGGTGGATACGGTGAGAAATAATCCTACCTGCTCGAGCACAACCGTGATTGAAAAACATAAGCCCAGCAGTTTTTGCCTTGTCGTTGTGGAAGCTGGTAACCCGAAACCGGCGTTTTTTCACTTCATCGAGGAGTGGACGCCATGACTAAATTCGTTCGAATGCTGGAAGTATTGGCGCGTGACTTTCATAATAAAAACGACGATACCCGAACTACCTCGGAAGCACCACTATTCTTGAAGACAGTGACAAATGCTGGATTTGCGAAGAGGAATTCTCCGAAACTAACGCGAAAGTTTTGGACCATAATCATTTCGATGGATCATTCCTCGGATGGGCTCACAACAAATGCAACTTCCTGAGACGTACCATACAATTCACCCCTGTCTTTGCCCACAATCTCCAGAATTATGATTTGCACCATGTACTGAAGAGTCTGCAAGATACCAATACCAGAAACACCTTTTCGGTCATTCCTCTCAATGACGAAAAATTTATTTCACTTACAATGAAAGTGTGGATTAGATCGTACACTAACGAAAAAGGAAATGTCCAACATGTCTACGAAGAAATCCGTTTTGTGGAAAGTTGTAAATTTATGAACAGCTCACTCGATGAGCTAGCTCGAAATCTACCCGTGGAAAAGTTCATATATCTCAATAACCACTTTGCTACCCGACCGGAAGAAGATAAAGCATTGATTCGACAAAAAGGTTACTTCCCCTACTCGTATGTTGACAGCCATGCAAGATAAACAGAAGATGGATTACCTGCACGCGACAAGTGGACCAACACGCTGCAAGGAGGTGTTGTTAGTGTCAGTGAAAAAGAATACCAACATGCATGGTTAGTGTACACTCGTTTCGGTTGTCAGACTTTGGGCGAATACAGCGATTTGTATCTAACAACTGATACCTTGATTCTTGCATGCGTTTTTGAAGAGTTTAGACGAGTGTGTTATGAAACATATAAGCTAGATTGTGCTCAATATTTCACGGTTAGCAATCTCTCAGGGGATGCATTTTTGCAAACATGCAAGGCTGACCTCCATTTGCTCACTAATAGGGAGCACTTGGATATGGCAGAAAACCTGATCAGGGGGGGGCATTGCAAGTGTGTTTGAAAAAAGACTTGTTTCCGCCAACAATAAATTTGTGAAAAATTACGACCCTAAACAGCCTAACACTTTCCTCTTCATGATAGACGCGAACAATTTATATGGCGGGATTATGGAAAAATTTCCTCTTCCACTTAACTCATTCGAGTTTAATGACCAAGTTACTATAGCCGAAATTCTCAACACGAGCAGAGAATCCGAAATTGGATACATTTTGGACGTCGATCTTTTATACCCCGATCATTTGCATGATGCACATTCGGATTACCCACTCGCCCCAACAAAAGAAGTTGTGTCCAAAATGTGGCTCAGTGAGCTTCAATTGGACATGTTGAAAAAAATGAACATTTCGGATAAAGTGGGCACTACGCCAAAGCTCATACAAAACTTCTTTCCAAAGAAAAACTATACTGTACACTACCTAACACTTCAGCTCTATGTCAAACTTGGTTTGAAAATTGAAAAAGTTAATCGAGTACTGCAGTTTAGACAAGAAAAATTTATTGCACCATATGTTCAGTTGAACACTGAGCTCCGAAAAAAAGCTACTACCAAGTTTGAACAAGATTTCTTCAAGCAAATAATAAATAGTGCGTTTGGAAAATTCTGCGAATCAAAAAGGAATCGACTTATTGTAGATATTGTTCGCAATGCTGAAGAACTGCAAAATTTATCAAGGAAAAAAAGATTTAGCAGTATAAAAATTATTGACCAACACTTGGTATCTGTAACCTCAAAACCTGTGAACATTAAATGGGATAAGCCCACAATTGTTGGTGCAACGATACTAGATTTGGCAAAATTTTACATGTTCCAGTTCCATTACAACATAATCAAGAAAAATTTTGACGCTACTCTTTTATATTCGGACACTGATTCGTTCCTGTATGAAATCCGCAGCAAAGATCTCTACAATGAAATTGAGAAAAACCATGAACTGCGAAATCATTTTGACTTTTCAAATCTACCAGCCACCCACCCCCTCTACACCAACGAGAATTTGCGCGTTACCCTGAAATTCAAGGACGAGTTTGCTGGGGAGATCATACAGGAGTACGTCGGACTAAAACCCAAACTGTACAGCATTATTTCTTCGAGTAAGTTTCTTTTTCTTTTCTTTTACCATTTTGCAATTACCATTTTAGAAAAGGGCAACAAAAACAAATCATAAGATTATGTAGTGAGGGTTGGGGGGGGAATGGAGGTATTTATGTGGAAAAGAGAAAAAACTGTTAAAAATTTGAAGTAAATCGATTGTATTTTTGTTTCAGACATGGACAAAAAAAGCGCGAAAGGTATTTCTAAATATTCGAAAATGGAGCTAACCCATAATAAATTTAAACAAACATTGACTTACTGTTCGCTGGTCCGGTCAGAAAATGTGAGGATAAATTCTTGCAATCACAATTTACAAACCATAATAACGAACAAAATTTCCCTGAGCGCATTTGACAATAAGCGCTATATACATGCAGACAGAGTAACTACTAGTCCTTTCGGACATAAACGTTTGCGTGAGGATATGTTCATAAGAGAAATTGGGCGCACCATGGACTGGGGCGAATACGACGTAGACGACGACGCCGTGGTCCCCACTCCCACCGATAACGGAAGTGGGGAGGATTTGGCTGAAGATATAGAAGCGCAGGGCGGGTATTATGTGGATATTTTTACTCCACCAGATATGGGGTTCAACCAACCCACATACACTGATCAAGAGCTAGAACAGGATTTGGTAGATTTCGACCAGCTAAGTGGGCAAAATGAGTCAGAACCAGCAGCGTACAACTGCCCCTATTTGGACATTGAAGCTCGAGAAGAAAACGAGCGGGAAGAAATTAGACCACCTAAACGGCGGTGCTTAAATCGACGTGCTTTTATATTAGACGATTCTGACTAAATAACTTCTGATTATAAATGTAAATGATTCGCTTTATAGTACTTTTCATTCAGGAAATAAAGCTTTTCAAAATTGTTCTTTTGACCGAAAAGTGAAATAATCAACAACTCTAATCGTGAGGGAGGGGGGTATTCAAAACAACAATATAAACTTACCAATATCACAGCATTTTATTTAATTCCACACGTGGCGATAAAGATTACAAAATAATCCACAATATAGCGCGCGCAGTAAAGTTTGAACTGTCAAAGTCAAAGGGAAAACATGCACCAACCAAAACTTAATTCCTTTCCCATTTCCATAAAGTGGCTGGAAAATTACCAATTTTAACCCCCCTTAAAACATGCGTGCCTGAAAAAGTAGGGGCTTTAACCCCTTTGGGGGTTAAAAGTGGTAAGTACAACGGCACACTGAATTTTTTGGGGGGGGGGGGTTAAAAGTCGTCATTTTCCTAGCCACTTTTACTATACTACTTTCAGGCCTAAATTTACTTTTTCGCGGCTTGACCTTTGATTTCTTTTTAAGTACAGTTCATTTCCTTTGTTAAAAGGAAGACAAACTCCACCATCGGACAGCTAAAGAGTAAAGGTCAAGAAAAACGTGATCGAAATCGAGTCTCAAAAATGTAATTTTATTTTCATGTTTCTCAAATTGGGTTGTTTTTTTTTATCAAAAAGTGTCGTAAGTTCTTATAGAATTTCAAAGATCTATCCCTGAAGGGCCATCTGTTTTTTTTCGAAAGTTAAGCTTTTCTGTTACTTGCGTTCATTGAATCTTTTCCAACTGTCTGTTCGCTGTTTTAATAATTTGTTAGTTATTTATGTAGTCTGGTTTAACAAATAAGTTTTTTCCTGATTTCATCATATTTTTGTTTTGATAATCAATTTTTGTTTTGGGCTACACATGCAAAACTCCGTTTCTCCAATGTGTGTTGAAAACCAGTCTGTTTTAAAGAGCTTATAATTGTCAATGTTTGAAAGAGGTTTTCACTTCTTTTGGGCTGTTTTTCTCTCTCGGTAAGTCTTTACCTGCGATCAGGAAGTGTTTTAAGTTTGATCTCGATCGTTTTCAGTTTTGACTAGTAACACTGAGAGCAAGTGTTTTGTAATTGTAATCATGTACTAGGCGTCCTTTTCCTAGGTAAGAACTTTGCTAGCAAATTTCTCTTCTGAGATTGATGCTTCATAAAGTTTTCAAGAATATTGAGCTAAAAAAAGTTTTTGATAATTCTTTTTTTCTTCAGTTGCTTTCGTTTTATTTTATTCCTGCTAACTGCAATGATATCGTTGAGTTGTATCGCACGTTGAGCTGTGCTTCGTTTCTGCGATTCTAATTCTTAAACGATGAGCTTGGGTAAAAAAATGTAGCTTTATTTTTAGGTTCAAACATGGAGTTTCTGTCTTGAACTCTAGCTGAAAAATTTCCGTTTACTTGAATTCTGTTTGCTTGAATCGGTTCGAAGTTCTTCGGATTTCAAGGATCTTCTACAATTCAAATTTTTCTGAAAAACAAACCTAAGTCGAGATCATTCCTTTTCGAGATGGTTTGTTTTCTCAAAAAATTTAGAAGATTCTATAAATTTGAACAATTTCAAACTGATTTATTTTGTTCTATGAAATTTCAAATCAATTACGTTTTTTCGCTCCTTGAAAATTAATGAACGCTTGTTCAACAATTTGTTGGCTAGGTTTTCTGTTATACTGGAATAATGCGAACCGAAAAGGCCAAAATTGAGATAAAATTTTAAATAATTGTTCAAGCTACAAACAAGACTGCTCGTATCAGGGCGAAGCCCTGAATGTTCCGACTGCCTTTTAGTGTTTATGGAGCAGTAGTAACATAAAAAAACTAAATGTAATAAACAAACCAAAAAAAAAAATTTTTTTTAATTTGAAATTTTGTTAATGAAATCATCCCCCCACACGCCAATAAAGTACAAAAGAATATATTTCGCTCCTTGTAACACATCAATTATGGCAAACAAGCTTCCTTGAACCAATTTGGAACGATTTTTAAGACGGATTAAATCTCCGCTTACGCGTTAATAGCGCGAAATATATCGCGCGTTAATTGTCTCAAATTGGCCAAAATGGCAATCTTTAAACCCCCATAACTTTACGAAAAGTGATCACAGGTGAAATATCTTTTCAAATTTAAGCTCAGGACAACAATACCTTTCGAATGATATAAAAAAATTTCGTCAAAAATGGCTAGTTAAAAAGTCGAAATTTGTCTGAAGAAAAAAAAACCCACCCCGAGCACAAATATTCCGTTACTTTCGTATCGAAAGTCGGAACAATAACCAAATCGACCCTGTTTTTTTTTTAAAATGAAATTTAAATCATTTCTCCTAATTTTATAGGTTTTTCATGCGCTGGATTTACTTCCAATCTCAATTATATATGCTCATTCAATTGTTGGCACTTCTGCAGAAAACTGCTCACCTTTTACTGGATAGCATTATATCTTTATTTCTTATTGTGGCTTAATTCTGTTTGACAAAAACAACTACTATTGAAAGGTTTTTTATTATTATTTTTGAGACGCTTTGGAAAAATTTTGTGCTCTCTGCAAAAGTGTTAGTTTTTCTCGAGAACTACTTGACCGATTTTCAAAAACTGGTACCAATGAAAAAACCGAATAGTACCTTGTGTGCCTGTTTATTCAGCTAGTATGTTTTGTTTAGTTTACCCGACGTTCTACGGCCTTCGAAATATTCAGTGGGGGCATTTCACCCATTTTTTGGAGGACTTTCCTTTTTTTCGAAAACTAAACTACCAAATCTAACAATCAAGAGTTCAATCAGAAGAACATATTCTGGAATCTCCCTGCATAAGCTGCTAAGCGCTGTTTTTTGTGCAAAAAAGATAAGATTTATGGCCCTAGACAATGTCCTACTTTTGACCACTTCTTGAGAACTTTTTCTCGACAGTTACCTGCCAAATTTGAGATTAACAGCTCAGTCCCAGCAACCTGTGTTAGGAATCCTTACTTTATCAACTGGAACCTGATCTAAACTATATTTTATGATTGGATAAATTAGATATTTTACCACTGTAAAGTATTTAATATTAACCAATCATGATCCATATAACTAACAACCCACTTATTTGTAAGTGCTGAAATTACTTGTAATTTCAGCACCAGAGAGATTTGAATTTAACTTAGAAATTAGTTGCCTCTCCAAGAGAACTTCAGCAGCCGCAATAAACCAGTATACCCTAGATCTATTGAGCCTAGCAGAGACTAGTTAAACAACCTGAGACTAGATAGTATAAGAGTAAGATTAGGATCGGTATTAGACTAAGAAGTTGCACGAATCTATCCGGCCGAAAATAATATAGCGTGACGAGCAGACGGTGTACCCTATCCGAAATTACTCTATGAGTTAACCACATCGCTAATAACTCATCTGGTGCGACCATAAGTCTCGAACAAGACCTTAATAGCTTAGAATTAACCAAAAATAGATTAGAATTTAGACAAAACATTTTCAAAATGTTATACGACGATAATTTAATCGAAATGTCTCTACGACTCAATAGATCAGAGCCAATATTCCGAACGATAACAGAACTACCCGGAATCGTAAGAAGACCTCGAACCAGAGACGACATACGACAAAGTAGAAACTTACCATATAGTTATATGATAGTACGGCAAAAGCCAACACAAACTTTTATATTTTGAATTTTATTAGCAATGAATTTAGATTTTCATTTGCAAACATAAAATCTTGAAATCAATCTTTATGATCATTTCAGGCGCTAAACAAAATTATTAATATACAATAACGATTGATAAAAAAATCTCAGATCGTTTTCCTAAATTCTGCAGTACTATATAAAACATGTTTGGAAAATATTTATTGAAAATAAAAACAAAAAGTAGTAGAATGACAATAAATTGTTAGTAATCATAAAATCATCTGTTGTCCCAGCTTCATCACCTAAACATAACAGCAATCATAAGCTCACTAATATCATTAAAAAACTAAATCTTTTTCTTAAATAAATTTAAACCATTTTAAACTTAAATTCACTTAATTTTAAAATCAGATCATCAAGGCTTATCCTTGGATCTTAATTAATTTTCTATTTCACTAAATTTAAAACTTGATCATCAAGGCCAATCCTTGGATCAAAAAGAACAATTTTGTTCTCCCCCACCCACTTAGCAAGTGTCTAACGACCTCAAACGTCGATTCACTATCCAACCCTTCCAAAAAACCCAAGACTAATAGAAATTTTTCAACAAAACTAACCATTCAAATTAGGATAAACAGTGAAGAACTTCGGTTATTCATCCTTCACTTGAACCCTCCTCTTACCAGACCCAGGATAAATCTTAGACTTAGTAAGTTTAAAATAGTATCTAACGAACTACTCGCGTTCTAATTATACCTGAACCTTGTGGATCGATTTACTATTCTCCAACCCTTGAACACAATCACTACCCCTAAGTAAGATTAAGTAAGCTAACACCTTAGCTTATACTAGCCACGAGAAAGTAAAAATCATTCTTCGGAATCGATATACTTTTCTCTCCAACCCTGAACAAATAGACCCAGGTTAAGCTAACCAAAAAATCGTAAGGACTAACAGTTTAAGAAAGTAGACATCATCTAACAACTTTTTGCATCCCTCATCCTAAAACTTATGTCATTCAAAAATCTAGGAAATAAACAAACAATCGTTTTACACAACTGCGAAATAGATAACAAAAAATATGATCTTGTAATCACACCTCATACACAAACAGTTGGATATATTAGAACAAAACGACTAACAATAAAAAGAAAAATAATAAACAAACAAAAACAAATCACACGAAAAAGATTTTCAAAGAATAGAAACGCATTTTCAGAATCAGAAGCCAGCAATTTAGATGAACTCTATAAATTAAAAGAATCAATTGATAAAAATTGTCCCATTCACGATCAATTATATTTTTCCGACTCAGAAACAACTTCAAATTCATCAAAAAGAGGAAAAAGAAGAATAAAAAAGCAATATA